AATTTGACTGCCGGGTTTGCTAGTAGAATCTATACATGCCTGGATGTATGAGGCTACAATGTCACAGTGAAATTTCCAAAGCTAAATTTTGTTGGAGAAGGTTTATGCTCCTTAAATCGTATAATTTCTATGGCATTCTGTACTGTCAGTGTGTTACATGTAACGTATGCCACTGCCAGTGCATGTGGTGGTGATATTACTCTGTAGTTTTTGCCTGCGTTAATTAGTTACAGGTGGCAGCTCTCTATTTTAGCCTGTAGGTTTGCGTAGGTAAATGGATGAGTGCTTACCTATTCTGTCTTGCAAATAGTTGTTGCTACTACGTACGATGGGAGCTTCCATCTTTAATCTTAAGACACTTAAATGTACGCGCCATCTTGTGGCAACTTTCATAACGATCCCAACGAACATTCCTTTGAGAAGGTTCCTGATACCATCCCTGTGCCTTCCACTGTTTCAGCGTGTATCTGAACACATTTGGGACTAACAGGGTTTACTAGAATCCCACCACTCCACACAGAGTCACCGCAGTAGACGTTAGATGAGCGCTGTCGCTCCGCGGCACTTGTTGAATGTATTACATGCCGCCAGGGTGGCGCCTAAAGCAAAAATGTGCTCTCCCCCTAGGGTGGAGGGACACACCCCTGATTGCTATTGTCTGATTGGCCACTTGGCAAAAAAATGTCCAACTCACCTGCTTTGAGTTGGGGAAATTAGAACATGTTCTAATCTTCCGACTCGCTGCTATCGATCGGTTGGACGTGCGACTTGTGTGTTTACACTGGCGATTGTCAGTTGCCAAACTGCCAAGTTCGTACAATTCGGCAACTCAAAATCGTCAGTGTAAACCCAGATTATGTATCCGCTTCAGCTGGCGCTGGCTAGATCTACCTGCTGACGCATAATAAAATACAATTGATAATAAAAGTTATACAACAGAGTTTAGAACTAGAAACTGTAGACACTTTCATTCATATTTAAATTTAACTTAACAATAATACCAGCTGAATCCAGCTCTTGCCTTGTATTAATCTGCAATGATGTGGTTACAATTGTATTCATACATTGTCTGTTGAAACTATAAATGATAGTCAATGATAAACTATGCTGACACTGTGACAGATGTGATGTGATGTCACAGACTCACAGGCACACATCTCTGTGAGACTGTGACAAATTAACCATGTACTTTCTTATTTTGAGACTGAAAAAAGAAACATACAACTGCACAGTGGTATTTTTATATAAAAAATTAATTTGCATCCAAACGAAAAGATAACGTGGTTCATTCTGTATGTTTATTACAGAGTAACAAAACAATAAGCAATCTACAAGTAGTGACTAGTGAAGCATGTGTACATGTAGAGAGATAAGAGTGAGAAGGGGAGTGGTGGACAGAATGGTAGTATGGTACTATGATAGAACTTAGAAGATGGAAGAGGTCAGAGGTGTCGGAGTCTCTGAGGCGGCATTGTGAATGCGAATGGATTCAAAGGATGTTTGGATCATGAGTTACAAGTGTGATTAGTGATATGTAGTAATGTAAATATAATTATAGGTACATGTATTAACAGAAAATTTGACACACTCATGGAATTAATAATACATACAATTTACATTGATTCCCCATCCCCACAAATAAAATAAGAGTACATTATATTACGTATTTTTCGAAAATTTGAAACTATGAAAATGGCTCTGGTAAATTTTTGACAAGTCAGAAAAATGGCTCTGGTGAAACAAAAAGTATTTTTTACACTGTGTGCGTCTAACACAGCTCAAATTTTTCCATGGCTTGCTATACTGTGGTAGTGTCATCTAGTGGTACTTTTCATAAGTTATTGGGAGATAATTTGCGAAGTGTGCAGTGCCTTCCCATTGGCCATGCTAAATTATGCTATCGAGATCAAGAATCGCTGTCCTTCTTAATCTGCCTGTCTACCTATGACTGGTGAACTGGTTCCGCTGCAAGCCCTAGCTAAATGATGTGTTTTCGACTTGCAGGAGTAGACCGTTTCATCATGGACATCGAGTTCATGGTACGGAGGAAGCTGTGTTTGTGGTGGAAGATTACCTGGAAGTTTATCACACCACTGCTTGTCTTCGTAAGTATCTTAACCTCTCGTATAGCATGATAGTTACTACAGGCATAACTACAGGCGAGTCGGTTGAAGGTTGGTTCGTATAGAGAGTAGAACTGTTGTCGAAGTTGCGTATTCGTGCATTTTGTGCTATATTTTATCGAGCGTTCACGTACCTGGGCACAATGATGAGGTCAGCACTGCTTACAAGCAGGTGTGGATTATTAGCTTTCAGGGCTTCGCTGAGACGTGATTCTTACAGCAGTCGCAATAATCACCCAATCGCCACAAGGATCCTTTCATCCCAACTGCTGCGTACTTATAATTGTATTTGTTTGTTCTCAGATACTGTTCGTGTTCAACCTTGTCATGCACGAACCGATCACGTTCGATGGCTACAAGTACCCGGACTGGGCGATCGGCCTTGGCTGGGTCATGGCACTGGCGTCCATGATGCCAATCCTCATCATAGCAGTGTGGACGCTTTATAATACGCCTGGAAGGAACCCGTGGGAGGTAATTAAGTTGCCCTCCCATCTACCAGTTACCCGCCTCCTATACCCACAGATTTTGCCGACTCGCCATCGATAATGTAAATGCTTTGAACATCTGATAGAATGTTAAAAAGTTTATCAGCTCGTCGACTTTTCAATAGTGTAAACCCAGCTTGTCTGGGACTCACACCGGTGTGCACGTTTCAGCATCGTATTGTGACCTACGTATTGTGTCGTGACCCTGGTGTATCGTTACACCTCTACTCACACGGGGTGCGCGTGTTTTCAGCATCGTATCGTGACCTACGTATCGAGATACGTATCGTATCGTGACCCTAGTGTATCGTTACACCTTTAAACCCAGCTTGACCCTTATAGTGTACATGCACCCAGCTTGACTCTTGACTCACACCGGTGCACTTGTTTCAGCATCGTATCGTAACCTACGTATTGTATCGTCACCAACGTATCATGACCCCAATGTATCGTTGCACCGCTACTCACACCGGTGCGCTCGTGTTTCAGCGGCTTGTGCGGTCGGTGCGGCCGACGCAGGACTGGGGGCCGGCGCTCGAGGTGCACCGCGTCGAGTACAAGCAGATCCTCTACGACAACAGCTTCAGCAACCAGAAGCCGTCGCCGCTGAGCGCCGAGCTGACGGGCGGCCCGACGCGCGGAGACGTCGAGAAGCGGGGCCTCCACGAGACGACGGCGCTCAGCAACGACTGCTCGCTGCCAGTGTGAGAGGCGACAACGGAGAGGGGAGAGCTCTACCGGTCTTCCCGTCCGACCCCGATCCTCCTCGGTGGGGGGTGGGGGGGGGGCTTCTCTGGGGGGCGGCGTTCCTACGCGGAGGGGAGCGAGGGTCTTTTTGTCCGATGCGCGTCGCTTCCCCGTGGGGGGACGCGTTTCTGCGCGGAGGGGAGGGAGAGTTCCCGTCTTATCCTCCTCACTCTCCGGGTGCTTGCGGGTGGAGCGGGGCGGGGGGAGAGTTGGTCGGAGGCCAGTATTAATGTATTCGCACGTGTGGTTTCCTGGAACACAGACTCTTGTAACGTTGGGCGCGTTAACAGCGGCCGAGTGGCAAGGCTGTATAGTGTACATGTGATTGTTTTGTAGGTTTGAGAGCACGTTCTCGGTGGCTCTCGTTCGTACTCCTTCTGTTGTCCAGCTCTATCTAGCTTTGTATTCTTATTTATAGTCATTACCTTACATCTCGGCGGTACCTGTGGCTTGTGTTGCGGTAGCTGTCGACCAAGTTGCAAGCCTGTGCGGTAACGTGGCCCGTAGTTATCAGTGTGCAGGCGAGAAACTGGTTGCGGGGAGAGGTGTGCAACGTTCGCTTCACTTGTCTCAAGGTGTTGCTGAGCAGTCATTCTCTCTGAGTAGTCTTTAAACCTTAAAAAAAGGGTGGTTTACCGCTCACGAGGTTAAAGCTTGGCGCACATTGCCGAACATTTTCCCGAACAAATGTTTTTGTCTGGCAATGTGAGGGTGGATAATTGCTGAGCGCACATTGCCGAACATTTTGCAGCGAACAATCTCGTGGCGCCGTCTAGTAGCTGTGTTGTAAAGAGTCACGTGATCGGCGCATGATTGGGCACAAAAATCATGTGACCACATATCGTGCTGCTATTGGTTACTACTTTACAAATGTTCCTAGAATTGTTCGACATTCAGCGCACATTGACCGAACATTTCATGGAACATTGCTACGATAATGTTTTTGAGCAAAATGTTCGGCAATGTGCGCCGGGCTTAACTGATCGACTCGTCGAGCCTTATTAGGATTTTAGTCGTACCAAACAATGAATATAATATTTATATAGTTTTGCACCAGTGTGTTTGTACTCGTTGTACAGTTTAAGTTTTCAGACTCGAACAGGGCCTATAGTAGGTGTTGTTTCAATTAACATGTTCAGCCATCATGTTGTTTTTGATGTCGTCTGCATTTTTTTTTCCATTTCTTGCATGGGCATGTTTTCTATTGTGGGTAGCAGTGAAGCTATGGAACATCTGTCTACATATCAGGAGTGCCACGCGGTTGTGTGTATCTGCTCTGCTCACTTGTGACTGCATGTCACACCTTTAGCAGATGCATTCCCCAGTCAGGGCAAATGTTGGTCCAATGTGTGTGGCTCAATATTTTCCCTTCCTAAACTGGTCTTTCGGGGTTACTTCTTTGCGCGCGTGCGTGTGTCTGTCTGGTATTTATTCGTAAGGCGAGAGACAGTCATACGGTGGTAATAACAAGGTGATCTGTCCACTGCATTCTCCAAACTTCGGACAATTAAGTGTGCTGCCTACCTCCACTTCCTCGGCCGTATCACGTAGGTTGATGAGTACCTACTATGCCTTTATAATTTCATAGCTTGAGCGTTTGCAATGCGATCCTTTCCTTTCCCAGAGTCGCTGCAAATCGGACAGCAGTTATCCTTATTAATTTTACAATTTTACCAGCAAATTTATTATTGGGGGGTACAGGGAATCGCAGGGTATATGCGATTCGCCAATCTCAAAGTGTGGAGGAGGATGTAGCAGGTTTACGTGAAGGTATAGAGGGGTTTTAGAGTCTCTTCAGAGACGTGCTCTTAGAAAGACGTGCTCTTGAGAGACTTGCGCTTGAGAAACGTGCTCTTGAGAAACGTGCTCTTAGAGTCTCTTTAGAGTCGTGTAGGCCAAAATGTAGACTATTCTGTAAAAAATATTGTATACGATATTGTGTACGAGGTATTATATTAATTAAATCATTAAGGTTTTATATATGTTGGGAAGATTTCACAGTTGATTATTTTCAATTTTCTAATGCATGTAAAATATTATTTCTGATATTCAGAATGTAACAAAGGTGTCAAATGATGCAAGGTGAAATTGATTTTTCTGAAATTCAGAATATGAAGATTTCATAGGGTGCAAGCTAGAGCTTCTTGAGTGTTGAGAAATCTCTAGCTTGTCGTAGTGCGTGGTGAGAGAAACGCGAATGGCAATCATTTTGTTTATGTTAATTTTTGTCCTTGGAACTATTTGCAGGTCAGTGGCGTCAGCGTCACCCCTGTTCATGATCGAGCTTTATGAGATCGAGGTTGTTGTGATTGTTTCGTTGGCGGGTATTATTGGGGTTGCACTCCGTATCAGCATCTATAGCATTCTCTCCCTATGTTCTAAACTCTCATGACAGCAGACCAGTATATTGTGTAAAGCTGGTCCAGAAAAATTGTCTTGTTGCTGTGTCCTCTGTTTGGGAAAATAGTTAAGTTATAGTTCAGTTGATTTGAGAAGGGTGTCCAGTAGGCAAAATTGGTTTCTCCTGACAATTTTTGTAAATATTTTAAGTGAAATAACAGCACATTATTAAACCAATCAAAACAAAATTACATTGATTTTTAATGTGGAAAATGGCAAGACAATGTAGGAATAAACATATTTTTAGTCCGGGCCCGCCCCCGGCTAACGGCAAACAGACGATTCTTTTGGACCAGCCTTAACAATGATTTATTAACACATTCATCCTGATGTAAGAATGTAGCAGCGATTTTAAGCCATTTATTAAATTACCTCCAACACTACTTACAATGGAGTAGAATTTCCTTTATAACATACACCTTAGTAGCGCATGGAGCACGCGCCTATACGCGTCCCCCTCACCGTTACGGCGGGGTGCAGTGGGATTCTTTATGCAGAGACAGGTAAAGTCGCCTAGCTGTGCTTTTATAGCGTCTCTATTGTTCACTGCCTAGTGTAAAGTACTGAAGACTATAGTTTGGTTCAACAGACCTGTGCTATAATTACCAACCTGCGGGTTAACTCGCTTGCAGTGGCTTGCTGTCCCTTCTGCAGACTGACTATTATAGCATAAACTGGTAGTATATATCTGGTGTAATATTATTGCATAACAGTAAGTGTAATTATTGTGTATGATGAAAACTGTAAAAGACGGTAATAAAAAAAAGACGTTTTGTACGAAGTTGTTACTATTGGTTTCATTTTCAAATATTTTTCCAGCACGTACTTACTATTAAACCTAACGGCGACAATATACTGTTGAACTGTTGGCATTACTTTCACAGGTCCTACATGACCACTGCTCTAAAACTGCCCTGGCAAGCTTTCATATCTACATTGTTCTCTTCTTATTTGCTTCAAATTCCATGCTACCCTTTATGTTGCTTGATGCACCTAGTTATAATGTCAAACAGCAGAATGTGGATGTGGTTATGTTATTATCAGGAGTGAATAATAATAGGGCATGTTAGTCGTAAAGATTGCTGCTATGAGAAGGAAAAACTCATGCAAAACGTATGCAAACATTGGTTTCACAAATTGTCGTCAATGCAGGAATAACAGGTACAGGTACAATTTTTGTAATAGTTTAATATTTATTGGTGAAATGTAGCAGATACATAGTCATCTGGTTGGACACCTCATTAAGATATGCAAAAATTTCCGCTTTACGCTGCTTTACCTTTAATAATCGAAAATCATTTGAATTACGGCACAGTAATTTTGTCATTTCCTCGCTGCAATATTTAAATCTTAAAAAAGTCAAAGTTTGCAGTTGGTATGAATCACACAACTAAAAAACTAATCTCAAAGAATGATGGACCGTTATTCCTATGTAAACCGGGATACCCAGAGCAATCGCCTGCACAAAGAATAAATGAGAAATAAGGTGACATACACATACGAGTCACTAACGAGTGCATGGACATGCCGTGACGGATGTAAGTCTAGTCTCAAATAATATTGACACTAAAAAGTATCCGCCGATAAAATCTAGGATCTACGTATGCAAATTCGAATGAGATACGACAAACTGCTACCCCACCACTTCCTCAACCTAAGCATTGAAGCTCATTCACAAAACTCCACCGAACTACCACACAAACCTACGACACCCCTAAATTTCGATCCTGGATGGGAAAACAAGCGCGTCTCGGGGAACAGGGGCGAGCGCCACATCCTCGATCGCATAAGCGAAGGTGCAGGTGCACGCTCGCAAAACAAGCGCGCGTCTCGCGGGTTCGTCCCGCCTCCGATTGCAGACGAAGACGCCGCGCGCGCACACGCAAAAACAAGCGCGCATCTCACGAGTTGTCCAGCCCCCGATCGCAGACGAAGAGATGCCACGCGCGCACTCGCAAAACAAGCGCGCGTCTCGCGGGTTCGTCCCGCCTCCGATTGCAGACGAAGACGCCGCGCGCGCACACGCAAAAACAAGCGCGCATCTCACGAGTTGTCCAGCCCCCGATCGCAGACGAAGAGATGCCACGCGCGCACTCGCAAAACAAGCGCGCGTCTCGCGGGTTCGTCCCGCCTCCGATTGCAGACGAAGACGCCGCGCGCGCACACGCAAAAACAAGCGCGCGTCTCACTGGTCGTCGTCGCTGCTGGCCGTCCTCGCGTCGGCGCCGTCGCCACGGCGATTGCGACTCCGCGCGTTCCTCCGCCGCTCCTCGTGCCGCGACTCCGCCTCGATGCTGAGCGCGTGCGTGTGCGTCAGCTGCACCTCGGCGTCTTGGCTCGCCGACTTGGCGTCGCGCACGAGCTGCTGCGCCGACAGCAGCCGCTCGGCAGCCATGACGGCCGACAGGTCGGCGCCGGCGGAGTGTGCGACGTCGATCGCGGCCTGCACGAGCCGCGTCACCGAGTCCATGAGCACCTCGAGCTGCGTGACGCGCGCCTTGCGCTCGTGCGCGTCCGTCCGCATGATGATCATGTCCTGCCAGAGGGCGCTCTCTACGCCCGAGTAGGCGAGCACGGCAAAGTGCTCGTGCATGAGCCCGACGAGCCCGAACACGGTCTGCGCGTACGACTTGTGCGCCTGCACGAGCGCGATCGTCGTCTGCGAGAGCACGGCCGAGACGGCGTCGACGTTCACGGCGACCGCGTTGCGCACGAGCGCCTCGCTCGTCATCGCGCCCGCGTCATCCTGCAGCTCGACCGCCACCGCCGCCGCCGCGATGCACACGCCAGGGAGCGCCAGCAGTCGCCCAGCACGGCGCGCGAACGCCCACGCGGTGACGGCGGCGCCGTGTTTCGTCGATCCCCGGGCGTGGGCGGAGGCGGCGAGGCGCGCCGATGCCGTGCACGCGCGTCGCAGCATGTTGCCGGTGTCCTGCAACACAGAGGAGCGGGAGTCACCACTACGCAAGGAGCAGGCCCCCACCCGGCGGAGGCTGACCGCAGAGAGGCGCCGCCCTCTGGTGGTTAATGAGGCCACGCCCACTAACTCTCGCGCGCACGCTCGAACGTTAGTGACCAACACGCGCGCGCGCGCACACGCACACGACAGCAGCTACCACTACCGTTTAACCGACATGGTTAGTAGAGAGTTAGCAGCAACCGCGCTGTAATCACGCGACCATCATACACCGCGTTGCAAGCCGCGTCTGCCTGCCGTCCGGCGTAAGTTCGAATCAATCGCAGGTACGTCCGCAACGGCGGCGACCTCTGATCGACCCCCCGCGTGCTCTAGGCCAATCCGTCGCTGAACGCGAGCGCCACTATCGCCTTCTGGTGGCCGTTGTACTCGCGCTTCACGTCGCCGCCCTCGACGCTCCACAGCCGCGCGACGTTGTCCGACGACGCCGTGAAGATGTACTGCGAGTCGCCGCTGAACGCGCAGTCCCACACCCAGCGCTGGTTCGCGCACTTCAGCTCCGTCATGAGCCCGAAGTCGGCCGTCTTCCAGATGCGCGTCGTCTGGTCGGCGGACGTCGTCGCGAGCAGCGTCGAGTCGGGGCTGAAGCGGCAGCGCAGCGCGTAGCGACGGTGCGCCTCGATCTTCGTCTTCGGGCGCGCCTGCGTGCACGCGGCTGCCGCGGCGCCGCTCGACGGCCCGCTCAGCGTCCACACGTAGCAGTTGCCGCGGTTGTTCACCGACGCGAGGTACGATCCCTCGGGGTCGACGCTCACCGACGTGATGCTCGCGTCCGCCTCGGGAACAAGCTGCTCGTTGTGGTCGGTGCGCAGGTCCCAGAAGTGGATCGAGCCGCTCTGGTCGCCGACGATCAGCTCGCCCTGGTTCGGGTGTATGAGCACGCAGCTGACGGGCGCGTTCACCTGGAAGATACGCTGGCACTGCAGGTTGCGCGCGCGCAGGTCCCAGATGCGCGCGCTGCAGTCCTCCCCGCCCGTGAACATCCACTTGCCCTCCTCGTGGAACCCGACGGCGGTGACGTTCTTCGAGACGCCCTCGTAGTTGACGACGGGGTTCGCGTTGCCCGACGCGACGTCGTACATGCGGATGTGCTGGTGGCCGGCGACGGCAACAGTCTGCCGGTCCGGCGTCACCTCGAGCGCGTTCACCTGCGAGTCGGGGTGCTGCACGGTGCGGTGGCAGATGCCGCTGTGCGCCTGCCAGAAGCGGATCGTGTGGTCGTAGCCGCCCGTTGCGAGGATCACCTGGTCCGCGAGCGCCCCGCCCCCCGTCATTGTCGCTGCGCCGCGAGGTTTTAGTATAACACACGCTAACGAGAATCCTCTAGGGTACCTAGAGGTCGTCACCTGTGATGTCCTTCGCTGCCGAGAAGCGCGGGCTGGTGGTCTACCTCTGCTGGAAGCTAGAAGAGAAAGAGCAGCAATGTGTCAGTAACTATTGCATCCATCAGATGTTTTTCCCACAAAAAATACTATCTTCAGTATATGATGTATATATGTATGTCAGTCATAATCATGTATTTGTATTTGAATTACATGCAATAAATATTTAATAAGAATTTAATAATATTAGTATTATATAGGCGTGTACCGGTTCGTTGTGTCAGTAATAGGACAGACACTACAGACACCCTATAGTCCGACCAGCTGGTATATCTTCCTGTCCACCGACTGCCTCACAAACTGACCTGGTGCCCAACGTGGGACACAAACCTATGACACTGCGATTATGAGTCTCATGCTCTAACTAAGTTAGCCAGATGATTCACCATACATCTTCACCGCAACCCTACTCTAGCTCTAACCTAATGCAGGGTGCTACAAAAAAAAACTTCCAGCCAACTGATGTCGTAATATTTACATACAAGCCTCGTTCACACGAGACCTCGTATTTCTGAAATACCGGATTTGCGAAATACCGTATCTGAGACAAATACGCGGCCGAGCGTTCACACGCTGATTCGCGGCTCCAGAAATACGGTATTTGCGAAATACCGAATCTGAGACAAATACGCGGCCGAGCGTTCACACGCTGATTCGCGGCTCCAGAAATACAGTATTTGCGAACTGCGAGCGGCTTTAAACAATCAAGCGAACAATGCAAAATAAACAATGCAATGCGCACCAACTGCCGATAAAATACGTAGACTGGTCCGCGCTCGACAGTTCCACTCGCGTTACACTAGAACTGTCGAGCGCGGACCAGTCTATAAAATACGCGGCTTCAGAAATCCGGTATTTAGCGTTCACACGAGGAAATGCGCGGTCCAAGAAATCCGGTATTTCTCAAGCACGGCAAATTATTCGGGGTCTGGGAAGCCTCGTATTTACATGAAATACCGGATCTGTTTAGATACCGTATTTCTTGGGCCTCGTATTTTGCCTCGTGTGATCGCTAAATACCGGATTTCTTGCTACGTGTGAACGCGGGCTACACTCTGTCAACTTACCACATCACATAGAAAAAACCTCAAAACATCGCAATCCAATAAAAATGTATGCTATGTTTGACTATATTTTCTTTTTCCTTTTTTTAAACGAAGAGCTAGCTTTTATATTTTAGTTTTACAACATCGGAAATACGTCCATATAAAGTCAGGGTACGGTGGGACAATGCAGGGTATGCAGCGACATATCTTATACTCCGCATAGTACCCCGAGGTACTTTCCGATATATTGAACCGTACCCAGGGTACCCTCCGATAATACCCTGGGGGACATAGACCCTATCAACTCCTGTAATCTGTATATATATGGCAGATCCTAAAATGCTACATTAGGCTTGAATCCGTTTTTCAACTTCTAGTGATATCACTGTAAGTTACTGTGAGCAGTAAGTGTTACCAGGAACACACATTGGCATGCCATATCAGAGCCTACTGAATTCAATAATAAAAAGATTAAATAAACACGCAATGTGTTTCGCTACTCTCTTTCACCTATTACTAATAATGTAAATGCCGTTCAAATGAACACTCTTAGTATAGTGCCAGTGTTGTCAGCTCGCAACAAGCCAAGGGGAAGTACGGGTATAGATAGAAACAATAACATGCAATGATAAGCAGTGACGTAGGTACCCCATCAGTGCATCACAGCCAGACATTCAGAGGACAAGAGCCAAAGGCAAAGTCGAGGACGAGGGTCGGCTACTGCCACTGGCTACTGGCTATAGAAACCTACCAAGCCTGGACCCCAGCGAACACGCAGTAAGAACAGTCAGAAACTTCAAACAGTGCGAGTCAACACCGAAGAGTTTCACCATTCATTCTTTCCGAGAACTATTCAACAGTGAAACCATCGTACTGAGGCCGAGATAGACCTTATCTCAATATCTGTTCCACTGCCACTAACGACAACATCTAAGCGCACACCTCACTGCGTTATTATCCACGTAACCGTGGGCTACGCAGTAAGCTATCCAGATCCAGATCCAGCTAGGTCCACAGGCCCTTGGAGGCTCAAGTTTCAAGAAGAGTATAACTCACTATAAGTAATATAACTTATAAGTGTCTAGATAGTGATCGAGTTATACTCTTCTTGAAACTTGAGCCTCCAAGGGCCTGTGCTAGGTCCTACTCTAGCCCGAACAGGCTGTGCGACGGATTGTCTATACAATATTGCTATATTACTATAAAAGACGGATTGTCTATAGAATATTGTGGTAGGCCTGTTCTAACCCTAGCATTGTAGCAATAGGGCCTACCGTTTCTTGGAGCTAGGTCCGACTCCTACTCCTACTCCTAGGATACGATCGGTCAAATAAACAATAAATATTCTCAAATGGTTTATCTTGCACTCTCTTGTTTATGTGTATATTTCACCTAATTATATCTATAGAACAGGATTGTATTATTAGTAAAACTAAATTACTAAAGTAACATCCAAGTACACATCAGTTGACGAACCTTCCACACCAAGAAGCAAGATATACAAGGAGATGACGCGGATTGGTCATGTACTTGTGACGCCACAGACGCCATTTTAGATTAAAGTTTTACATTGCAGAAGTGTTCACTGTGTGCGTCTGAACGTTTGGAATAAACATATAGGAGAAAATATAGGAAATTAACATATATATAAACATACCCTATGGAATAAACATATATGATATGGGTGTTTTTATAATTTTAAAAATTACAATATAATATTATATTGCAGAGATAAGTGGCATCATATACCGGGTACGTGTATGCAATGTAGAAGTGACGTAAGAAGGCTATAATTATGTTCATTACTTTATTTTTTCAATTTAATATCGTGAATACTATTAGGCTTCCTCCGCACTACGAGCCTTTAGGATGATTAACATTTGACTATAATGTTAATCATCCTGATGGCTCGTGGTGGGGAGGAAGCCGCAGCGTCTAGTAGTCACCATTGCTGGCGTGGAGATTATAGCAGCTTTAGCGTGGTAAACGTGGTAGACGCGTGGTAGATTTAGATGACCACCTTGAGCCTTGAGGTACCCTTGAGCTTCCCAACAACGTGAGTGCGTGCACATTTCGCCGGTGCGTCCTGTGTGAATATACTTACATTATACCAGGAGTAGATAATAGGGAAATTATCTATTATCTCCCTATTATCTATCTATTATATCCCTATTATCTATCTATTATCTCCCTATTATATACTCCTGATTATACCCTGATTATACGTACGCACCGTTCCATCACCGGAACTGGCCCATCTACCGGTTCCTAACTCTTTCTCAATTTATTCTGTCTCTCTGTCTGGTCTGTATACGTGTTTATAGTCACTGTGCTGTGGGGTTGCCACTATGTGTATCAAAAGCTAATAATACCTCGCCTCGTAATTATTATTAGCTGTTGATGTGTATGGCGAACTATGCGTCTTCATCGCGTGTTCACCGCGTCCTCGTGCGGCGCGTAGCGCGGATGGCTGCGTACGCGCGGTACCCATAGGAACGTGTACACAAATATGTGTAGTGGCAGGTGTAAATTTTCCGTGTGCATATCGTCTTTATTGACCGCCCGGGTCTAGAGTACTAGTACTATTGCGTCTTGTGGTATATACGGCTATATCTCCCCGCTGGCGTTACGTGCTAGTACTGTAGTGAGTGCTGTGTCTATTTAGTTAGTGGTGCGCAGTCGAGGTCGGGAATAAAACGTAGCTAGACGATGCAGGCGCCTAGCGTGCATGGCGGGAAAAGTCCACGAAGTATCAGCATGAATGCGACATTCTCGCCATCGCTGGGAGCAGGTCTCGCTCTCCCTCATCTCAGAAACGAGCGAGAAGGTAGTGATGGTATGCCAGAAAGGTGAGCGAACATGGCAGATATAGAGCGCATGGATATAGGAGTACGTGGTCTACACGAGGCTTCATAATTATAGACTATAGTGGGGTAGTGCAGCTATAGTTCTCTTGCTTACCGCCGCCCTTCACGCTGCCATACGCTACCACTACGCATACCTGTCGTCGAGCTATAATGAATGGCAGAGCTAGCTTTTTGCTTGCTGTTTTGGCTTGGGAGTTTTTATTATGTAATATTACTGTCTTGTGTTTATTTCTTACTACGCGCCTGCGCGACGTGCCGGATTTTTGCATCATTCCTTGATATACGGAAAGTCTGATGCGGAAGTTGATATGCGTATATGAAGCCCAATGGATATAACGTGTAGGAAAAAAAAATTCGCGTACCGGTCGGCAATTATTTCGCTGAAGTTTATATAAACGCACGTAATTAAGCACGCACGCACACGCAAGCACGCAGACACGCACGCACGCATGCTGACGTGCACACAAACGCGCGCGGGTGTGTGTGTGCTTGCGTGTGCGTGCGCGCTTTCGTGCGTGCGCGCGCGCGCGTGTGTGTATGCGAACGTATACGTACATACGTGCGATTGTGCGTGCGCGCGCCACATTTTTTCACAAAACGGCAGAACTCGGGATAGACACAAATAGAAGTTCAACAAGGGTACACACCTCTCTTATTTTATTTAGAGAGTTTCATCTTGAGGATATGTTAAGTTCTAGCAACCTGGCTATGCTACTGGCAAAGTTTGAAACACTTCAGCATTTACAATCGGACTCTACTAACAAGTCAAACAATAGCGTAAGTTTAAGATTAATTACTATGTTCATTGTTATATTATGTCATACGTGTTAACTTGTTGGAAAATTTTCAGTGTTTTCAATACTTGCGCGTGCAATCCACAGCAAATTTGGCTTCGTTTACAAAACGCAGAAATCAAGAATGATATTCCATAGATATTTGCTTTAGAAGTGCCATATATGTGTTTGCTTGAATATAGCCTAGTTGTTGTTTTATGTGCGTGTTATTTTCATAGGATGGAGATGGTGTCATGAACCGGGAAGATTTCACACACACAATATGCTCTCTGCTCGGAACAACCAAGTATACTGAAGAGATAGGAAAGATCTTTCACAAGGTCTGCATGTTAATTAATTTATTCATTAGCAAGATACACTCTCAACGTCTGTTCGCTTTACTGCACAACGCCCGTACATACTGACGTACTTCCTGCGTATTCACTCCTGATCGTTCCAACGTACTGCTTGCGTATTTTCTGCTGAATGTTAGCATGACTATGCTAATGGTAGCATGAATTAATGTGCTGATAATTCGACAGATGGACACCGAGGGCAAAGGTTCGGTCAGTTGGCAAGAGTGCTCTTCGTATCTGCTTCAGCAGTACAAGACAAGAGAGGCTATTGATAAAAACCTTCCCTTCCCATCAGAACCTAGAATAAAACACATGCTACAGAACCAGGTAGATTTGATCACTGAACCGTTGGTATAGAGCACAGTAAAGCATATAAAATTGCATAAAAAAGTATGAGTTTCATACCCGTAGTAAATGTGACATGACTTCGTGTAATATTCATTCTACTTGTTTTGCTTCTAAGCAAGAGATAACCGCAAAGGTCCTTACATTTGAGAACCCACCACGGTGTGTAAGCGTCAGTAAGGAGGGAGCGGTGGGCATGTGGACAAGTAAATTCACACTAGAGACAACCCACCAACTGGGATTCCATAAGAAAGCAAACCAACGGGAAAGTGTCGGTCACCGGCTGTGGATACTGGATGCCGTTTACATGGGGGACTCTCATAGGTTCGTAGCTAGTTTACTTTACTATGTTTGCATATCGTTTGTGCTATAATTACTTTATTCTGCCTTGTGTAACACCCACTTGCCGCATGGTTATTATATGGAATAATATATGCACTGGAAAAGCATCATTTTCACGTGCAATTGTACAGAAGGTTCCCAACATGCGTAGAAGTATATGTGTGGCAGCTAGCTAGGCTAATTAAATATCAATTAATTTCAGCCTTATTTGCTTAATTACCACTGTGCGCGAGAGCGTAATGATGCCGCGTTTGCTTATAGGTTGGTCGTAGCAACCATGAACAGAAGTCTGCTATTCTACGAAACCAACACCTTCACCGAAGAATTCAATCTATTCGGTCAGTAAATGTCGGAGAATTGAGAGACTTCTCTTTATATATGTCTACTCTTTATATATATATATATATATATATATATATATATATAGGTATGCCCTGTGAATGTTCTTCTGATTGTCTGTGATGTTCTAAGGCCTTCCTGCCGCCGCCAACAGCCTGGACTACTGGTACGATGCCGAACAGCCAGGTCATGAGGGCATTCTCCTCTACGGAGACGAGGCGGGGTCGCTGCACCTCCTACGCTTCTCCTCTCCTATCACCAGACTGTTTGAGAAGCCATTCAGCGCGCAGCCAGGCACCTGCAAGGTGTTCATGCAGGTGTGAAAGCTTGCCGTGCGTGTAAGGTGTTCATGCAGGTGTGAAAGCTTGCCGTGCGTGTAAGGTGTTCATGTAGGTGTTAATGCTGGTAGTGCGTGTTCGCGCGATTGCTCGAACCCCGTGTCTCGGGCACGTCGCGGCAGGTATTACGTATTCTCGTGTTCGTGTGTTCTCATGTTTCCATGTGCACGTGTCATGCACGTGATTCCGTTTTCCCATGTTCGCGTGTCCGCGTGTCACATGCTTTCGTGTTCACGCGTCGCGTTTTCTCATGTTCCCGTGTTCACGCGTTTTATTATTCCCGTTTTCCACGTGTTCGTGTCTATCTCGTAGGATAAAAGGTGCGTAAAATCACTAGGATTATTCTCACTTGTTCTCGTTAGTTAAATCTTCAACAAGAAATTAAATGAAGCGCCATTAGGTTATTCAGACTGAAAAAATACTTTTAGGATATCATTGAATTTCGGGCCCAAGAACAATGTGTCCGTCACACGGAACTGACGCGCCTCCATCCTCACAGTGTCTTACAGGTATGGTACTGAAGCTTGCAATAATTATCAACATATTTATAGCTGTGGAAATTAACGGAGAGAGAGAGAGAGAGAGAGAGAGAGAGAGAGAGAGAGAGAGAGAGAGAGAGAGAGAGAGAGAGAGAGAGAGTATGACAGTCACGCATGTGATGCGGCGTGTGCACCAGCGTGTTTTAAGCATCACGCTTAGTAGTAATTAGTGTCAGGCTTAAGCTTTAACATATTAAGCAACAGGCTTACGCTTTAACGTGGTAAGCGTCACGCTTAAGCTTTAGACGGAAAGTGCTTTTCTGTCAGGTGAAGTTCATGGGAGATGCAGACACTGTGGTGTCGTGTTCCCTCAGTAGGCGGGTTTCCCTCCTCATTACCGACGTCCACGGAAAGCACAAGTCGTACACGTTCGAATTACTGAAGGTAATGAGACCTTGAAGTTGATAACCCGAAAGAAACCTCGGTGAAAATTTGTCGAACAAAAACCGTATAAATGCAGCGCAGTTGAATGAAATATTAGAAAAGATTTTTCATAATTTCAAGTCTTTATTTTAAAATCATTATACGCTCTTAATTTCTATGTGCGTCAGTTATTCGTCTTCATACAAATCCCTGCGCCAAATGCGAATTGCAATTCGATCGTATATTTATGTTTAGTTTTCAGAGGTATAGATGACTGCAGATCGCTACCGCATGTGCTGTAAGCGTGGTTATCTTGTAGGGGGTCAACTGCTTTGATCTTGACCGCGGCATGAAGGTCATCGCGACGGGCAGCAGCGACCACCTGGCACGTCTCTACAACACGTACGTGTCGGCAAGACCAACGGCCATATTGCGCGGTCACCGAACACCGGTCATCGCACTGGCAATACACGCCGAGCGTGGACAGCTGTTCACGTACTCCAGGTAAGGCCAGGCGAGTACGTCACGTATACCCAAAGAAATACATAAAGACACAGTCTAACTAGTATATTATTTCTTTGTGTATACCATAATTGTTATAATTCATCGAGTAAATCAAGAAAAAATTTACCAACTCTCGAGTTTCACCTATTATATATTAATATTCATCATCTTGTAATTTTGTAATCATCTAGTTATTTTTGGTAATCTACAGGAGTGGCTAACTGGAAAATTGAATTGTCGTTTCGTCCTTCATCGTTTCTACTTATTTAGTCTCATTTCTTTATATTTATCAGCTTTGCTAATTAATTCGCTTGTACCAATATAATACCTTCAAAATGTAATTGCCATAAGTGTAAATAAAGTGAAGCTAATTAAATTGAATTGAGGGCAGCTCGATCGTGTTTGCAGTTTTGATACTTCCCAAATTCTTGCTTGCGCTCTTATGTATCATACGCGGCCGATGTTTTCCCAGCTCGCGTGTCTATCCTTCATTTGTCTGGTCGTCTGGTCTTTGTCTGGTCATTCGTTCACGCAGGCGCTACGAACTGCACACCTTTCTTGCGTTTGCAGAGATGCGTTCGTGAAGGCATGGGATCTAGGAGAACACACCTGCCTGCGCACGATCGCCCTGCGGTTCCCCACCATTCAGCTGGGCAGGGCTCCGGAGCACGGTCTCTATCCGATTCTACTCGCACCGGGTCCACACGACGCCCTGCTAGTGGCCAGCAACGAGTACCTCGCATGGCTGAAGCTGGGCAGCGATGAAAGCGACACAGTAGTCGGCAAGACGTCAGCAGCGACTCCGCTACTGGCTGCGCTGTATAATCCAAGTTTTCAGCAGGTGACGAGGCTCTGATCTGCGGGTACTCGTTTCTCGCTCAACTTTACAGGGATTTTCCGTCTCCATAATATTATCGGGAGCGAACAAAACGCTAATTTGTTGCAGCTATTTGTTTTGGCTCACTTCTGATGATTTTCTCAATAAAAAGGCAAGGAGTTTCAAAGTTCAAGGTTTATTGGATGAAATGAGAGAATTCATTTAGACAGTGCCCTTATTTTAGCAGCGACTTTCTAGCTTCATGGCCATAATAAGCGCGGTGGGAGGGGGTGGATGGGTGGAGGGTGCTGTTGTCACAGACCTTGGCGGCGATAGCGGGGAACTGCCCACGGCAACCTGTCCAGAAATCTCGCGTGACTGAACCCCGCAAAACGCAAACCTCTGTCCTACTTGACATCCTACTCGTCCTCTTGAACCTTCCTCTGTCTTACCCTTCCCCTGTCCTGCTTGAATTCCTACTTGTCCTCTTGAACATTCCTCTGTCTTACCCTTCCCCTGTCCTACTTGAATTCCTACTTGTCCTCTTGAACATTCCTCTGTCTTACCCTTCCCCTGTCCTACTTGAAACTTTCGATAGAAATCATAGCTTTTGCAATTGTTATTCAACCTCGCAGGTTGTCGTCAGCAGTGTGGACGGCACCGTGTCCGTGTACGACATTGAGTCCGGTGAGCTGTCCCTCGTGATGCGCGATGTTCACCAGGGATCGGAGTTACGGCACGTGTCCGCCAGCGAGCGCAACCTGGTCACCGTCGATAGGAGTGGCATCACAAAGGTGCGTGATCCAATGTCACCGTGAACTCAGGTGATGTGTACACATAGGTTAGTGAACGCAACCTGGTAACGGTCGATAGGAGTGACATCACCAAGGTGCGTGATCCAATGTCAGCGTGAACTCAGGTGCCATGATGTACGCATAGGTTCGTGAACGCAACTTGGTTACAGTCGATAGGAGTGACATCACCAAGGTGCGTGATCCAATGTCAGCGTGAACTCAGGTGCCATGATGTACACATTAGAAATCGGATTAATATTAGGGCCTACAGACTGCCTTATTAATTCCAAGCCTAGGGGTTTCCCTCTTACTGATGCTGTCACTACTCGCCCACTCTCGTTAGTCGAATTAAGTATTCTTTTTCAGAGGGGATATATATATATATATATATATATATATATATATATATATATATATATATATGAGGGTTTGTAAGCTCTTGATACCTTCGCTAACTTTAGCCTACGATGTTTCTGACAACGGGCCCCTGAGAGCCATATTGAATTTCAAATATGAAACATGAGCAGGTGTGGAGTCTGCAGACGGGTGAGGCCCTATACGAGCTGCTTCCCGTATCGCGTCACGACGCCGTCACGGCAGCCGTGTACGTACCAGACACCAGGCAAGTGGTCACCGTAGGATGGAGCAGGAAAATTGTCACCTACGACCTCTCGAAAGACGCACAGGTATAGGCAACCTAGCTGTGGTAATATACAGCCTGGTAATATATAGATACATACAGCCTGCCTCTTATGGGAAGCATAGTTATATAGTTATAATTTGTTTTTATTCACTCCTGATGCAATCCATGTATTTTCTTCAGACTCTCCGTCTTCCTTCCCGATGGTCCCAAGTTTGCCTTCAATGGTTCGTTTGTTGGCTTGAAGGTATCCTGCACCAATTCCGTCCAATTCCTTTTCTCTAAATATTCAGTTACTAAGAGTATATCAATGCGCATCCTATTCAATTGTGTTCCATATCCGTCCGTTCCACAAAAGTCTGTTAACCACATCATAGTATTCCTATATTACCTATTTTACCTCCTAGTATTTATTGAGTACGGTTTACTATGTTGCCCAAATATACAGGCGCATAAAATTCCTCCCAACTTGTCGTGGAGGGGTGGACAGCTTCACCAGGCCGACATATTGACCCTGGACGCCTGCGCTCCCTCACTACTGGTCACAGCTTCCAGCGAAGGAGAGATCATCGTATGGAGCGTCATCTCTCAGAAGCCATTTGTTGTACTTCAGTTTGAAGAGGAGAAAGCGCTGAAGGAAGCATTTGCTGTTGATGAGAAGTGAGAGCTGAGGGAGTTTGGAGGAAGCAAGGGAAATTGGGGGAAAGGGTTAATTGGGTGGCAGTTCCGTCAACATTATTACCGGCAACGACAGATCTGCATTAAAAGCACATTTCTATACGATATACTGGTATATGATTATACATATATATATATGTGTGTGTGTGTGTGTGTGTGTGCGTGCGTGCGTGCGTGCGCGCGCAGGAGGGCGCGTGCAGGAGGGCGCGCGGGCGGTCGTCAGTGCGGGCGTGCGTGCGTGCGGGCGTGCGTGCGGGCGTGCGTGCGTGCGTGCGTGCGTGCGTGCGTGCGTGCGTGTTTTCATCGCAGCGTGCGTCCTAGGAATATATTCTGTGTAAGGTGATAATCATGGTGTTTCAGGATGGTCGTTGACGGCGTGCTGCTGCTAGAGAGGAGAGCCGCATTGGGGTATACCAATAGCGGAGCTATACTCGTGTCCAGCCAGGCCGGCCGGCTCGCCTTCTGGGCCGTGCACGGGCAAGACCGTCTGTTAGGTGTGTCTCTGTACGCGCGCGCGCGCGCGCGTGTGTGTGTGTGTGTATGCATGCGTACGTCTCTCTCTCTCTCTCTCTCTGTCTGTGTGTGTGTATGTGTGTGTGTGTGTGTGCGTGCGCGCGCCTGTGTGTGCGTGCGCGCCTGTGCGTGCGTGCGTGCGCCTGTGTGTGCGTGCGTGCGTTTGTGCGTATGGGTATGCGTGTGATGCTGATAGATCAATGTTTTTATTCTCGCTGGGAAGAGCGATTCAAAAAATGTCTCGTGCGAAACTCATATAGTTTAATAACGCTTCACTCGTTTATTTTGTCCTATGCATCCATCCACTCGTTAATGGGCGTATTTTTCCAAGTCTCTGCCTCCTGCCTTTCGCGCATCATTCGCTAGAGTGAGGGTACATTTGCTTGCGTTACGAACCAATTAAGAATTTCCCGCAGGACATTCATGTGACTGCAATTACAACCCCTCTCTAACTAATATGCTAGGATTAGTATTCCAGGACGCAATCAAATCGACATCGAGATCTAAATTATGTCGGTCAAGTTTCGTGCGTGTTTACAGGCATTGGTAATGTTGAGATTCGAGCGAGTGTTCGCTCGATGTTTAGGGTTGTTCGAAGATTTGAGCGAGTCTTCGCTCTATGTTTAGGGTTGTTTGAAGCGGTGAATGATTGCAAGGAGGATCAGATCTGCAGCTTAGCGGAGAGCACAGACAGCGACCTTCTCGCCACCGGTGACACGGCTGGTGAAGTCTGCATTTGGAACGTCGCCGACTACTGCATCAAACAGGACCAGGTAGAGAACCCCGCGCGTGGGCGGTGATAGATCACGAGTAATAACGCTTTAAACACATGCGGTTCGTAAATGGATAAAAAAGAATACGTATGTTCCACAGATTTCTACAACACTGTATTTCTATCACTACTCTGTAACACTTCGCATTGGGGATGCACCTACGTCACCAAAGCACTAGTCGCCCTAGCAGTTAGTATATATAGAGGTCAATGCATCAAAGTAGTGCTTACATCTTCCATTCCTAAACGTATATATAATATATATATATATATATATATATATATATATATATATCAGAAGTAGATAATAGGGAATAATTGCCTATTATCTACTTCTGATATACATATATATATAACAATGTTGTATAGGTAAACACTAGTATGCCGCCGACTCTGCACCGATGGAGAGCTCACAGTGCAGCTGTAGTGGGCGTCAGCATTGCTCAGTTCGATACTTCCTCGCTCATCATAACCGCATCTGCTGACATGTGTGCCAAGCTGTGGACTATAGGCGGAGAGCTGCTGGGTCTATTTGGACAGGTACGCCTGAGTGCGACTACGTACCTCACATTTAAAATCTATTGACTAGTACGCTAGTGACGCTGCTTTCGTATGTTATTTAGGCTATCTGCATCGAAGGAGAACCCGTTACGGGGAAAACAATTAGATTTTTTTTCGAAAACAATTTTTAGTTTTCTTAACGGAACCTAAAGGAGTCCGTTAAGGGTTAGAGTTAGGGTTAGGGTTAGGGTCAATTCTGTCGCAATTATTCAATATTCACAGTCGCAATTCTATTGTAGGATTCGTGGAACCTAAAGAAGCTAGCGCTGTATCGTACGGATGCGCCCGTGGGCGGCAGCGATGAAAAGCATTCAAGAAGATCGAGTGTAGCGAAAGAACACGAAGCACCTCACGAATCTACGGATAATGTAGAGGGTAGCCATCCCCTCGGGCCGATACCTGGTGAAAAATGCCCAGAATTTCAGCGATCGCTGATGGATGTTGTAGACAGCAAGGTGAGTATGTGGGTTTTTGTAACACTATGTCACATAGGCCCGGGAGGATGCCCAGTCTTATGTCTCTTGTGTCCTTCCGATGAGCCATGTTAGGTCTTATGAATGCTGTTGATATCGATGTTAGAGGGATACAAGAACCCTAGGTTCCTTGCATATTTTCAGTTAAAATAAAAAAAGGATGTAAAAAGTAAAAACATCTCAAATACGCTATGTAAAAAATTCCATTGTTCAATATTCATGTTGTTTTTAAATTTATTAAAACCAACGGCTGTATTGTTACAACGCTTACGACGCTCGCGTAACGTGGCGTTAACAGGTTACCATGCAGTCGTTCATGGTTATAATCGTAGAAAATGGCACCTAGAAAATCGCAATGCAGGTCCCCGTTTGTTGACTGTACGCATATCCGGACCGGCACCACGTCTGGCAGTGTTTAAGCTTCCTGCACGAACCAAAAAGAGGGCGAAATCAATGCAGTTACAGCATCAATCAATCAGCATAATTACATTATACATTAGCGCGTAATCATTCTGTTACAAAGCTGCGCATGCCGTCGTGCGGCATATGGCTGGATGTACATATGATTAACTGTAATTAACGAGTATAGACATCGTCGCACCCTCTTATAGCGAAGCAAGATCTGTTCCATAACTTTCAACACGCTGCGTGTTCTAAATCTATTCCGAAACGCGACCGGGCACAATTTCAACGGCGACATTCCGATGTAAAAGGGAACGGTGTCGTGGTTAAATAGATTTTCCAATCTTACACGGGGAGACGGACATAGAGCCGGGTTACCTAGCTATTCTATATCGCGCCGCAGTATGCTTATCATTAGCTATATTTAACTAATAGTATATATTTAGCTGTTAGTGGTAACGGTTAGCTACACTCACTTTATTTTTCCGTTTTGCTTGATAATGTGGCACGGTTTGCGTTTTCTACCGCTCACTACACAAGGCCTGTTGCAGGCTGTCTCTTCCTTCTGCTGTCCCCTGCCAAATAAGAAGGATCCACTTAGTTCAGTGCTTTCAGCAGCATGTTTAAATAACATGGGGAGAGGTTAACTGTATATTGCCGAATCGCACAACTCGGGGAGTTTGCTGTGTTACTGTGATCAGATGTTGCAAATGAACGAGCAAACTAACTAACGAACGACCGACCGACCGACCGAATGAATGAATAAATGAGAGAATGAACGAGCGGACAAAGGAAGAATGAACGGACGTACGAATGAACGGCCAAACGAACGAACGAATAAAGGAAGAATAAACGGAAAGACGAACGAGCGAACAAGGCAACCAACCAACTAGCTAACCAACCAACCTATGAAGAAAAACGGACGGACGAACGAACGAACGAACGAACGAACACGAACAAACGAACGAATGAACGAATAAACGAACGAACGAACACGCAAACGAACAAACGAACGACGGACGGACGAACGAAAGAAACTAACGAGCGAACGAATTAAATGATGGCGATGTGTGTGAAGAGAGAGAGAGAGAGAGAGAGAGAGAGAGAGAGAGAGAGAGAGAGAGAGAGAGAGAGAGAGAGAGAGAGAGAGAGAGAGAGAGAGAGCGCGCGCGCGAGAGAGAGAGAGAGAGAGAGCGCGCGCGAGAGAGAGAGAGATACACAGCCGCCTGCCGCGTATGCGTAGATGGTTTGACAACCCCTATCAAGGGAAATGGAGGTGAGAATATTCGAGTCACTTACTTGCAAGCAGCGGATGGAGGTTGGCAGGTTCGTCTGCGCGTTGTCGTGCCCCCGCCTCCACACCTATTAGAGCATGAGGAGTCGTACGTCCACGATGACCACGAACCTATCCACATCAACACGCGTGTTACTTATATTATTCGAACGATAGCTAGGTTTACCTGTAAAATTTCACAACACTATGATAATCATAGCGCAATATAGTTATTATACTACTTTGTTGTCTTTCTTATGTACATATAAAAACACCAGGAGTGTATAATATAGAGATATCTATATTATACACGCCTGAAAACATGAACTTGTCATTTCAAATATAGCATTGCGTGTACAGTTGATGCATACTTCATCGGTACGCAGTTAAATCCATGTATAAATGTCATCTACCTAGTGGTTGAGTTGACATTGACGTTGGTGGCATTGTTGGTGACAATTTTGGTGACGGCGTTGGTGTCACTGTTGATGGCAGTGTTGTTGGCGGTGTTAGCCGTTGGGCTACTGTCGTTGCTATCCCCTCCCGGAGGCAGAGGGAATTCTTGTCACAGTGTAGTTCATCTTGCTTCAGCGAGTCTATGGCGCGTCCGGCCAGGTTGAGAGGTGCAGCACATGCGCCATCTATCTCGCTGGGTGGGACCTCACTGCCACCCACCGGGGCCGAAACCAGAGCGCCCAGGCAGCAGTCACAGTACAGAGGATTACCTGGATGATTTACATACATTTATTGTAATTGTAAATTGTGACTGTAATTGTAATTTGTATTAAATTATGTAATTATACACCAAACCACGACGAAAATGAGTTGAGTTGATGATGAGTGAGTGCATCGGCCATTATCGACACAAACCCACTGAGGACGTAACACTCAGGTAGCATCAAACTTATGACTTACCTTCCAGTAGCAACCTCTCTTTGGGTACGTCTTCGAAGATACCTCTCGCTATTCGTTGTATTCGATTCCTGCGAAGGTTGATTCCCTCTAGAGGAATACCACGGAATGCATCCAACTCGATATTCTCGATCGCATTCCCTTCCAAATTCAGAAAGACGAGCTGCGAGCCTCTCAGACCGGAGAAGGTGTCCCTACCGATCGACTGCAGCTTGTTCAGACTCAGGTCCAACTGCTTCAACCCCAACCCCTCCAGGGCCCCATCTTCGAACGCGCGCACGGTGCCGCCACCTAGCGTCTCTCCGAATCCGCCAACGTACAGCTTCGTGATCGTCCATCCGGCAAACGCGTCTCGCGAGATCTTGAAGTCGAACGCCGGATTCAAGTAGACTTCGGCGGCGCGGCGGGGCACGGCGCTCACGGCGGTCCACATGTCGCTCTCGGCGACGTCAGACCTGCACAGAACGTAGAGGAACGACCGCACGTTGGTCGCATCGCTGTTACAGTCGCACAGCGAGCACAGCTGCGTGGGGACGGCCGCCGCAGCCGCCGCGAGACGGCCGACGTCTGTCACCGCCGTCAGCAAGAGCACTACGGTCATTAACTGACGAGTGAAGAACGTATGGAGAACGAAAGAACCGAACATGGTAGTATGTTCACTGACGGATGACTACCGCATGGAGAACGAGTGAGCGGAACATGGTAGTATGTTCATCGCAGTCGTCGTGCACCTTTAATCTACGGTCATTCACTGACGGGTGACTGCCGCATGGAGAAGGAGAGAGCGGAACGTGTAGTGGTAGGCTGTTCACTGACGGGTGACTGCCGTATGAAGAACGAGAGAGCGGAACGTGGTAGTCTGTTCACTGACGGGTGACTGCCGTATGAAAGAACACGAGAGAGAGCGGAAATGTAGTCTGTTCACTGACGGATGACTACCGCATGGAGAACGAGAGAGCGGAACATGGTAGTATGTTCACTCGCAGTCGTTCGTTTGCACCTTCGGTCCACTTGCGCTGGATTTCACTGATAAACAGTGTCACACGATGATATATTGCTGTCTCAAGTCGAACAGGAAACTGGCAATAGTTTTAAATTTATGGTGACCCACTATGCTTGTGTTAGTGACACATCTAATATAATGCAAAAATGGGCTGTTATTCCACCATGTACGACAAAGTTGTACCAAGCGATTGGTATTTATTATTGAAAAACTCAAATAACTACTACTGACATGTCTTTCAATTCGTGTGACCATATATATATATTTACTACACACGCTCTCGTACAACACTACTCGACTGAATGCACCCACCGCAATATGAGACGATCGGATCTCTAGCAGTCCTCCATCCAGAGAGGATATCCTGTATCCTTCCAATACGCGGGAAGTCTGCCCTACCTTTGTAAGCGCGCACGTTCAATGTAATAACTTTACTCGCCACGTTCCACCTTCTCCACAAGAAATTGGAAACATACTTAGATGTTACTTAGAAGATACTTATAGAAGAAACATAAATTATACTTATAAGATACTTAGATGTTACTGCGTATGATTTTGTACGATATGAAGTATATTCACAACGTGCGCATATTCCCCTAGTCGTGCAGTTCTGTTATTAAATTTACTGCTGTCCGCGCTAATGCGACTCTAATTAACCTACCCATCTCTCTCGACTGGCAGGTCGACTTGGGTGTGAAAGCAGAGAGAAGGCTGGCTGAACAGAAGGCAGTCTGGGGACAGCGCAGGAGACGGTTCGCGAACATCGACAGCAGCAAAGTGTTCAGAGAAGAGCTATGCACGCCGTACCAAGCGCTCGCCATTGCTGTAGGTGGCCAGCCTCTTGACACGACACGCCCCACCCCCTGATCTACATAAGCATACTAATTATAGTATCGCGTAATACATGAATAAATTAATAGATAAAATACACAAAATACGTAAATAAATAATGCACGGCGCGCATCTTAATCCTATTATATTTCCTCTGTACTATTCACTATAGCTACCACTCGTGATTTGTTTGATCTAAATACTGGCATCCACTTGGCTGGGTTGCCTTCGAGCCTTACTGTTGCAATAGATGATTAATTTGTGGCCAGATTAATGTGAGCACCGCCTATACCCAATCCAACATGTTTCTTCTACTTACTTCGCTAGGAGCTGGCACCAACTGACACGGAAATATCTTTCAGCTCTCGGATGGAGCAGAAGAACACTTCTCTATCCGAACAGTGATCAAGCTTTCGCACAGCTGCCCATCCTGACTACTGGCCACGCTCCAACGTCTTCATATAAACAGGGGTGGCGCAGGGGGCCTCCCCGTCGAAGGCAAGAACGGTCAGGGGGAAACTGGTCAGAGAATTTATGAAAACAATTTGCAGACATTGTCCATCTCATTCTGTAGTGATGCCGCTACTACCAGCGGGAAAATAATCAGCAAGATAAGAGGCTGATTTATCTGTATGTATAAAATATTACAATGTATCAATAGTTATAGATATTGCAACTATTCCTTGTTAAAACACGAATAATGCCATTTTAAACCTTGAAATTTTGCAAAAGTATTCGGGTTTCCTAGTGTTGGATAGCTTTAACCCCTACTCCCAATATTTTGCCCCATTGGGCAATATCCGGTGC